TAGCAGTCAGCTGGACAAACACAAACATATACAAACGAGAGTGTTACAGCAAGAATGTTCGGTCCGACTGTCAGAGCTGAATGCTGGAAGCTTCCATCTGTCCAAAAGGCAGTACCTGCCTCCTCTTTATAGCTGGGAGAGTCCATGCGTGCGTGGGTAAATTACCATGATAGATAGATAGATAGATAGATAGATAAAGCGTAAATAGAATGAGATAGATAGATAGATAGATAGATAGATAGATAGATAGATAGATAGATAGATAGATCATGAATAGAAGAAGAAAAAATAGATAGATAGGGCAATGGTGAATAGTATTAGCGAACTAGCGAGCTAGATTTTAAAATATTTATACAGGTGTATTTTTACAGGTGCATTTCTGTAATGTCCTAAAGGTAAAAAAAAATTAATAATAATAGTAATATAACCGTAAAGTGGTACTATTGAAGCAGAATTTCCAAAAACTGTTGAAACCGATTTAGCCGTTTTTTTTTTTCTTGATCTTGTTTCCATATTATGTTATGACTTTTCCTTCTTTTTTTAAATATTTCCTCTTATTTTAACAAGTTCGTTGTTATCCACACACACACACACACACACACACACACACATATATATATATATATATAAAAGTGAAAAGTCATCACTCAGAGACGACAGACTGTTTCATGCTAAATGCAATCATCAGGCCTAATAATTACATTTAGCATGAAACAGTCTGTCGCCTCTGAGTGTTGACTTCATGTACACTTTTATATTTATATCCGCTCTATCTCTGATACTGAGCACTTTGTCCCATAAATGTAGTACAATTTGAAACTATATTTCGTCATATATATTTGTGTGTGTGTGTGTGCGTGTGTTGTACACAAGGTGTCTCAATATTGACATAAATTAAAATGTGAATATCTGAATAATTACGTGTTTCAGGTAAAATTAATCCGGCTTCATATTGAAGAATATAAGTGATGTTGGGCCAAAGTTGGGACCACAGAAGTAAAACACGGAACACGGATTAGATGTAATAAAGATATATTAACAACAGGTTACAGAGATAGTGTAAGCGGAGCTTACTATATGTTAGTGTCCAATACTGGTAGTCGTACGCGGCTCTCACTGTCTCTCTGACTCTCAGTGTCTCTCAGTCTAGAGTGTTGTGTCGCATACTTAATATAGACCTTGAAGAGTCTATTGTGTAGGTAATTTCGGTCTCACAATACCCCCCTCTCCAAGAGATTTCTTTTTGAAAAGGAGAGAAAAAAAAACTGTTAATACTCATTCCTCTTGGGATTTACGTCGAGTGGTTGAGTAAATTTCCTTTTCCTTCCTGAGCGTCGCACTTCAGGAGAGACTTGGGGCTTGTCGAGATCGAACTAGAGATTTTGATGCGTGAGCCACAGCTTTTCGCGAACCATCTTGCAGTTTATGCAAAATGCAAGCACCAATGCCGTACGAGCTTGCATCACTTGCGACTATGATGTCGAGACTAGGGTCGTAATGGGTGAGGGAGAGGTCCAAAGTCAGAGTTTTTTTGATCTTCTCGAATGCGTCTTGGCATTCCGGGGTCCATGACCATGGTTTGTCCTTTTTTAAAAGTTAGTTGAGAGGCCCTCTCAAATTTTGCATGTTCTTAATGAACCCTTTGTAAAAGTTAGTTAGGCCGCAGAAGTTTTGTAACGCTTGAACGTTATCTGGGGCCGGCATATTTCTCATCGCGTTGGCTCGTATTTGATTGGACTTCTTTTTTACGTTGATCGTAGGTGCTGCCCACTCGCTGAAATCTGTTTTTGACAGAATACCTGCTTGTTCGAGTCTATCTAACTCTTTGTTGATTTGCTCGAGAGCAGCGAAAGGGACATTCCTTTTCTTTTTTAATACAGGTTGTGCACCGTCCTTCACCTTGAATTTAGCTTTCATTTTAGTACATTTCCCAAGGCCGCCAGAAAAAACCTGGGGAAATTGTTGTTTGAGTTCCTTTTTGAGATTTACCAAATTGGTCGTTGTACTTTGTATCTTGCGACAAAATGTACTCATTGGGCAAACCCAAAGATTGAATTTTACTATCCAATCTGTTCCAAATAAGTTATCTGAAGTTTTCAATACGTAGGCTTTGAGCTTTTTGGTAACACTATTTAGTTTTACTGTAAGTATTACCTCACCGAAAATGTTAATTTTTTCGCCAGTTACAGATTTTGCTGTTTTATCCGTTTTTAGTAAGGTCGACTTGTTTAATTTTCGCCAAGTACGCCAATTAATGGTTGAAAGATCGGAACCCGAGTCAAGCTGGAATTTAAGGAATTATAGAAAATATCCACAGTTACATATTTTCTTAAATTCCTATCGACAATATTGTCAGAATGAGCTTGCCTAATTTTATTTTTGGGTTTTCTCGTTCTGTTGGCGTACCTTTTGAAGTTAAAGTATGCCCACTTTTATTGCAATTTTGCAATATTTTTTGTTCTTAACTGGACAGAATTTCATCCAATGCCATTTACCACAA